TGGCCTTTTTAAGTCAAAACTTTGTCGTTAAGCTAAGTTGACGCCATACTCAAAAGTCTCATATATATATTACGGTCTGAGGTTGTAATTAGTGTACTCTACGCTATTCCTTCTAACAAACCAATACATGTTGGAGTGTAATGGCAATTAGAATGGCATCTTACTGCTTATGCTTACTTATCTTTGCTTGGAATTTTTGAAATTGATGTAGGCAGCTGGCACTTGATAAAGATCAAGATTAACTGAAAATACGGCAAACAGCTATAGATTTTCATGTGCAAATATGATCTCAACTATAAAAAGGCGTATATATGTATAAATGACTAACTAACTAGGTAACTAGTAACCAAGTCAGATAATTATCAATTTGATTGATTATATTATTAATTAATTTATAATTAAATAGTTAGTTAAATAGCTAACTGATTAATTGATTAATTTACTGTGTAACTAATAAATCAAGTTAATTGTATAATTGAATAATTGATTTATGAAGTAATTATTTAATTAATTTATTCAAATTAATTAATTAATTCGTTATATTAATTCAAATAAGTAATTGATTAGAACATGACTGACATTAAAATTCGTAATCATCCATCGCCCGCGCACTAATTAGTTGCAGATATGAATGAATCGTTTATTGATTTCTAGTGAATGCCGGGCATCATAAGATTCGGCTTGAGCCGACTATATTTGCTTTATTCTTTTATATTGGAAAACTTTAAAGTAGCTTGAGGTGTCTTAAAGAATTTCAGGTATAAAAATGATCGAATACATATTTAAAGTATTGGATATAAACGCTGTAGAGAAAATAATAAACTTTTTCCTGCATAAAAAATAAAAAAAAAAAGAAAAAACAAAGAAACGACAACATTTCCTTTATGTTATAAAATATTTACCCTAGAAATGGACAACCCTTTGTTTCTCCTTCTTTTCATTCGTACATTTCCTTTCATATTTATTAGAGCAATATAACAATATCTCAAATATTGCAAGGACAAACAAATACATAAACATCGCAAGTGAATGAGCAAACATCGAAATGTTGAAAAGCCTTCGAGTTGCAAGTCACATTTCCAAATTCTTCCTCCTAACTTAAGTTCCCAGTTGGAAGAACAGTTTTGGATGAAAGCGAAGCGTTCCCATTGTCTTTTCGAGTATTCGAACAACTCATAGATAACTCGTAATAATGCTCGACTATTTAAGCTCTTACTAGCATTTTCCAAACTCACTGCAGATTACGAGTTTGCAATAAACACTGGATTTTTGGCAACCGGCAATTTGACGAACTTCCGAATTTGAGCTTAAAAATTCTGCACAAGAAAGCAGATTTTGATGTTATATACTAATATTTAATGGCATGCTAAAGGACATACATATATATATCCATTATGTTTGTCTGCAGTAGCAGCGGCCGTTTTATTATCTCTGACTATGCTATATATCCATTTCTAGGAAAATTTGGCAAAGTTTGTGAATTCTCACAAGCGCCAAAATGACGACTGAAGAAGCTGAAACTCGGTACAAATATTTCTTGATCGATTACGAATCTAAGATTAGACAAGTAAAAAAATTATAATTTGCCGTGACTATCCTAAAAAAGGTGAAAAATAAATAAAAGAATTATATTTTCATGCTCCATACTATGGAGTGGGTGACGCTGATTTTTCGTATTTTCAAAATAAAAGTTTTCGCCCCTTGGAAAGTTTAGGTCACTCTCTCAAATATCTCTCACAAATTTGTAAGCGATATTTTCATTTTCACCAGCGGAAAAATGTTTACCACAGATACTGCACGGTTGGGCAGAAGGACAGATGGACGGACACGCTTGGATGAATTCCATATTTGAAGATGGCCAAGAATTGATATACTTTAGGGGATTTTTGAAGTTCTGTTTTTGTGCGGTCAATTTATTCCATTTTTGTACACAAATGCTACAGCCTTGCCCATAGAATATGCGTTAAAATGTTTGTCCATTTATCTGCTACAATTTATGAGTAATGATCAAAAAAAAATCAATTTTTTATTCCTTTTGAAAAACAGAGGTGTCTTCTATAGGCGTGTCCTTGCGCCGATTTGGCCCCAATACCAACTTGCCTGCAATAGCTTCCCAGTCGATTCAGAATTTGATGCTGATCAAGAATCTATTTGCAGCTGCTCGCAAATTGTTCGAACCTTTTATTCCAAACTAAGGCTACTGTTTGCTACTCCGTCGCAACACATTTTTACTTTAGTTTATTCCCAATGTTGCTGCAATTTTGCATTGCATGTGTATTTTTATGCTACAATTTCGACTAGAAGTTTAACGTAAGCGTTATGCTGCGTACATGTTATGTAAAATTTATGCAATATATACGCGAGTCACATAACGTACATGACAGCAGATAGATTATAAAAGAGTAGCAGCAACAAGTTTCAAATCCCAAAAGTCCAGTTTGCCGCCTGACAACATTCAGGACATTCAGTTATGTCAACCAAACTAATTGTTTACGTTCAGTAATAGGGGTAACGTTTTTCACAACTATGCTATAGAACATATTTATTCAGTATTACAACTTTGTTATTGTTTATTATGTTGTCGAAAGTTCCTAGTTTCGTTCACATATGCAATTTGCGTAGACTTGCCATCAGACGTAACTAGGGCTAGGAAGGTAGTACCAAAAAAGTAACAAGCAACAAATAATAATCAATAATATTGAAAATTTCTATTAGAATTGAAGTTTGCTTTCGCTCATCCATAGCTAAGGTTGGTATTGCGAAACGTCGAAAACAAGTTTTAGTAAATGACGGGCAGAGCTGGAGGACAGACGGACGTTAAAATGATAATCGCAAATTATTAAAGATTATTGATTAAGGATGTAGCTCTGCAGTCTTCATCGTCGAAAGCCATTTCATTACGATCATTCAACGCAGTATAGCGTAGCATTAAGGGAACTATATAAGTGATTAATTTGCGAGAATTATATGATTACATGAAGTCGATATGAGTTGATCGTAAAAAGCCTGTTCGAACATTTTTATATCGGAATATTTATATGTCAAGCTTTACATTATTGGTCCAAGGTCTAAAGCGTTTTGCTGCTTTTGCTCATCCACAAACAGTTCTCGCAACAGTTTTTTTTATTTTCCAAAGGAATGGAACTGAAGCGAAGTATCAGTAGTGGTGCGAAACATCAACGCAGTGAGTATGTAGTCCGTGAACACTTTTGAGCTTGATGATAACCTTATAGCCGCGACATACTCTTTTCGCCGAGATCTACGCCATACATTGGTTTGTTTATGCCAACTCTTTATAGTGACTCTTCGCTATGGGTAAAACTACAAAGCAAGAGAGAGAGAGAGAGATACGCCTCAATTTTCGGCTTTCGAAATGGACTTTATGTACACGAAATCATTAAAAACATAGGAAATCATCGTCTACATCAGTAATATTCTATCGAAAGTTAGAGCCTGCGACTCTTCCAGGAAGGTCCTAGATAGTAATTAAAAAATGCACGCGCTCCAGTTGTTCTATGATCGACAAAATTAAATCGACACTATTGCGAACTCGTCTAACGAAGACAGTCTAATATGTTTGTGTGTCATTAATGTTGCACATCTTTTCAAAGGATTCCTTTCTTCAAAGTTCAATTCAATTTTCATCGTTTAAATCGCCCTATTCGCTCTAATTATTGCAATGAATATGAACTCGAAAAAGTAAATCATTTACTGCGTCCACGCAAGTAGCTGGCGATACGCAAAATTTCACAAACAAGGTATCGAGAAGAACGACCTTTTAACTGTCCTTTGTGTCATGTAAAAACTGAATCGATTCTATCCTGCAAAAAATGTCCTTTCATGTCTTAGTCGAATGGTTAAGGGATTAAATGAGTTAATAAAAGGCAGGAAAAATAAAATTTTATACACTAACATTATCCCCTTGTGTGTGTGTATGTGCATATATAAAGGATGGTATGAAAAAGCAAAAGATGAGGAGAAGGCAATGCCGGCAACAATTTTAATCAATTAAATAATCATTAGCTATATTAGCCACCTTATAATTATCGTCATCAGGGATAATAGATTTCTTTTTGGTCGCAATAAAAGATGACATATTCGTGCCATCAACGCCCACTTATACGCAATCCTATGCTATACGTTTATATCGATCTGACTGCCCTTCATGCATTATTCATGGAACAAATCAGCTAAGCATCAGCATCAGAGAACATAGAAGAGACCACAGAACACGATGTCGTGTATAAAAGAGAGGCAACCACCAATCACTACAAATCATCAAACCCGTGACCTGATAGCAGTAAATCATTGTTTTATGAGTTTTTAATATGATTTCAGTAAAATATATTTAAATATAGCATATGTGTTCGACATGAATGCGTATAAGTGAAAGCATGCATTATTTATGACGAGAAGGAAGACCGACCATAGAACAACTACATACAATAACTACATCTAAGCTATTCTCTCTATCTTTTTTTTTTTTTTTTTCCTTTTTTTTTTTCTTCCTTTTTGTTGTATAAACGTTTAAACCCAAATCGAAATTGTTTAGCTTTCGCGTCAAAGACAAATTATGTTTAACTTAAGCATCTCTAGTAAAACTAATAAAACATGTTTTATGAGGTGATAAATTTTTAATTTTTATTACACGAAATTTTCGCGTTCGCCATGAAAGTTAATGAGAGATAAGAAAGAAGAAGGGGAAAAATGAAACGAAACGAAGTCATTCTATATGTAATCGGTCTATTAGTATGTATGTACGTCATATGAATCATTAGTATGGCGTATGGTCGCAATACTTATAGTAAATAATATCAGTTTTATTGGTCTCAATTCCGGGAATTTATGCGGATTACATACGTTTAGCTTCCATTTTCATATTTAAGAGGAAAAAGACGTTTTACAGTTAATTTTGTAAGAATTTTATTGCTTTTATAAAGTTTTTATGCTTTTTTTCTTCTTTCTTCTCTTCTCTCGCCTTTCATTTAATAAATAAACAGATGTTAACTTTCGCGATGACTTTGAGTCGCCTTCAGCATCTTTAATGGCAGGCGAACACGCGGGTTCACCTTCTCATACCGGACGTAAGCCGCGTCGTAACCGTACAACATTTTCTTCAAGCCAATTAACAGCTTTAGAGAAGGTGTTCGAACGCACTCACTACCCGGACGCTTTTGTACGTGAGGAATTGGCCACAAAGGTGGGTTTGAGTGAGGCGCGCGTCCAAGTATGGTTTCAGAATCGTCGCGCCAAATTTCGTCGTAACGAACGCAGTTCAACAACCGGCCGTCCTTTAATAACTGCCACCCCGCAGCCTGTACCGCCTATAACTACAGCTCATAAATTTTCATCCGATAAAAGTGCCATCCTGTTACATCAGCAAATGGATTTACCGCATCATCATCATCATCATCATCATCATGCAGCTGCCGCTGCAGCTGCCTATTCGCTTAGTTTTCCTTCGCTAGGCATGTATGCATCAGCTAAGCCATATGTGAATGCTTCGTACAACGGTACCAGTGCTTCAAATGATAGCTTAAGCGGACCATGCGGATTTTTTGCCCCAGCCAATTACTGCGCCACAAATTATCCATCGAATTATTCGCCGCTACGTTATAAACCAACACAAACTTTCACAGGCTTATGAAAATTTCTATATAAATTAGTGTTATTCGTTTCGATTCGATACCGAAAGTGCAATTTTTAGTCGTAAATAAAATGTTTTTAATCGAAACCTTAAACGAAATTAATATAATAAAATTTAATACAATGATATGAGAATGGTTTCGCCATTGGAGAATGCAGGTAATTAGATTAACCTGATCAAAATGACTTGAAATTGTACGCGAATTAAAAATACCTACAGTTTGGGTGGGGATTTTAGTAAGTATTTTTGGGACTCACGAAACTAATCTCTTTCCAAATATGCCTAAAGCAATAGCGTTATTTATATCTATTGGTCAAGGCTGGGAGTGTAGTTAGTTCGCATTAATTTAAAGAGAGCCAACCAAAATCTACTGCTGTGCCAATAATTATTATCGGCGCTGTTCGCAAACTGGTTTCGCAAATTGATGAGACGTTTAAATCGTTCGTTAAACTAGGACAAAGCGAACATAAACTTTGCTATAGCAGTGATTTGTATTCACGTTAACATAAAAGCGCGCTGTAACTCTTCCCTTCTCGTTATTAGTGTGCACTGAAGGCTTTGCTACTCGTTTGTTTCGTCAAAACAATCAAGCTAACGAATCTCTATTCGCACAAGTCAAAGACGGCTACGAATTACATTGTAAGATTACAAATATACGGACTTTGCATTCACAAAGGCGCATTATACGTAACTACACACAATCATTCGTCTATATATTCTTCGTAAATGCCTGCAATATGCAAATGTACAAAATTCCAACCTGTAGGCTGAATCCGTTAATACATGAATAGACATTCGGCAGAGACGCTCATATCGATTCGGAAACTGATTCCGAATTTAAAAAACGTGCAACTTTTTAAAGTAATTTCAGTGTTACATATATTCGCCCAACCTTAATATATCCTGTCCCGCAGGTGGTCTAATGTACAAAACCTAAAAAAAGCTTAACGAAACTAAAATCAATTTGGGATCAAATTTTGGACGGTAGAAATCTCAGCCCGTGAACTTCAGTGGGACCCTAAATTATTATCTAAAGATATTGAGAATATTGCATAGAGCTTAAGAAATAAGCAACAGACTCTTGAGTTAGACGAAACGCCGCTCAAACAAATATCTACAATCCTGCAACATATTGCTTTAAATCTAAGCAGCATTTCAGAAGCAAAAATTCTTTTATTTCCTTTTTATCATTAAAAGCGGTTCGAATCGAGACCGCTTTTCCGACGACTCGTCCCATAACACTCCATTTTGATAAGTGTTTATAAGAATAAATATTATGAAGTTTAGAATTGCGCGACATGGTGCTCTTTTTTTGCATCTTTGTATCGGACGGGACATTTTTGAACCTCTCGCCATATAAATCTCCCAATGAAACCTGAATTTTTATATGGAAAATATCGTAAATTTCAATACATCTTAATGAAAATTCATCCGTGATAGCAACTTGATCTAAAAATTATTACCTTAGCGAATTTGGTTAAGGTAAATCTATTTTTTGAATCCCTACCCATGTAAGGATTCTAATGGAAAATAAAGCTTAGAAGTATATCCACCGTAGGAAATTTGGATCACGTAGATCTATCTCTAAGACCGTACTAGATGCAGGGCTCTCATGAAAGGAAACTCTTCTATGGCGTAAAAGTCTAATTAGTAGTTAGACAAGTAATGAAAGCTTTGACAAATAAATTGCGTTGGCTAAATTTAGACCACGCTAACGCTTGGGTCTTCCCCAATATGCGGGCATTTAGACAAAAATAATGTATAATTAAGCATTGATTAAGCAAAGTGATTTGGGGTGTCTACTGGTCGGCCTTACCCAACTATAGCAATTTTGCCCGTTTTTTCTTAGCATCTCTTTATTTCCCCTAATTAATTATAGAAATATTATATATGTTGATTACAATATTTTACACTATTAATTCATATTCAAGGTATATATGTGAGTAGAATGTAATTACCTTGAATGTAAATTAATTGGCAATTGTAATTGATTGCTTTTTATTAGCCAAATAATGAAATAAATGAAATATTAAGTTTATGGCGTCAACTGTATAAAAAATAAAAGCCATAATTTACATACCATACTACATCATAGTGGCATAATTCTTTCAAGGAACGACTACGTTGAATATGATGTGCGAAAACGTGAAAAAAGCATGCTTGGACCAAAAGATATCGTTGTACGAAATTTCATTAAAATATCTCGAACACAAGAAACCAACACCGATAGACGGACGCGCCGACTCGAGGACAGACAATCTTAGATAGATTCAGAAAGTGATGGTGAATCTCTGGCATAATAAACAGTGAGCACAATCTCAAACGCTTCTGAACATTCCATACATTATGCAGCGCAGTATGATGTAAGGCATGATAAGTAGAAATTATTAATCAATGCCCGATTACTTAGTAATAATGGTATCTTCAATAAGTTTATTAGATTTACATAATTTCCAAAATTTATTAACTGCAAGCAATTTGAAAAATAAGAAGCCACAGCCGTTATGAATGGAATTGTATCGTATATCATTGTAGGAGGGTAAATAGATCCGATCTCCGATCTCCGATCTCCGATATTTTCTTTTTCAGTAAGACTTCGTGTATACGATAAGAGAGTTATCAAATTGGTGAAGGGTCAAAAACTAGTTTATTGGATATACCGAGAAATTTTATTAGAAAATGGGGAGAAGCTATACCAAATATGCTCGATATTACTATACGTGAATGTTTAATGCGTTGCATTCAATAGAATTAAGCATTTTTTTCCGTTCATTTCTACGAAGATTTTGAATTCAAGACAATTGCGTTTTTGAATTCTTGAAAGCTGAAATTTACACAAAAAGTTATGAGGCATTCACAAGAATTTAACCTAAATGGATGGATGGCTTTCCAAATCTCTGAATGGAGTTAAATTTCAAGTGTAAAATATTCTACAAACTGCGATATGTTGTGGTATTGGGAGTTGAATGACTTGGCTGAGATATCGTCACTTGGCGATTTCAGCGTAATTTAGGCAAAATAATGAGCTTGTTTAGTTAACAGAAGCATTTCGTATTGAAAACTCGAACAATTAGTAGCATAATGCGTAGGGTAACAGTGATGGGATGATTGCAGTTGGATTTGACAGATATACTGATATTTTTAATTGTTATTGTGTCAGCAGTAGGTAAAACTTGTGTGTGATGTAATAGCGAATGAAATGAAAGATTTTTTTTATTTTTTTTTATTATTATTTATTCATTTATTTTTATTTCTAATCCGTCTATACACATTGTACATAGTTGAAGACAAAATGCATTAATACATCAGAGATTGCTAATATTTATTTATATGTATTATTTTAAATATGTTTATGTATTTGTATATGTATTTGTTGGTTTTTTTTTTTCACTTCATTTTCCATAATAATTTTTGTTTATTATTTCGGTTTTTTAAGAATACATCTGTAAATATTTTATACATAAGACGAAAGGATTTTGCATATTCCGAGTAAACATATATTATCATTAATTACACGTATAATTACGTTGAACGTGAATATGGGTAAATAAATTTCATTAAAGATATTTATGGTATACAACACGGAATTTTTAATCTTTTTGTTATCTTGACTTCTTTCGTTTTCTCTCTCTCTCTCTCTCTCTCTCTCTTTCATTTTCTTTTCTTTTCGTTTATTTTTTTGCATTTTCTTTTGTTTCCAATGTTTTTGTATGTGCGCATTGATCTTATTATATGCACATATAGCTTTTATATATATATATATATATATATATATATATATATATATTTTATATATAAATATATATTTTATATATAATGTTTATATAATGTATATAATGGTAATGCGTATTTTCCCTTTTCCCCCGTTAATAATAATAATAATTTTTTTTGTGATTTTGCGATTATTCTTGTTGCTGTTACGCTTATTATTGGATTTCAATGGCATTTGGTTTTTGTTTTTTTTTTTTTTTTTCATCTCTCATAAATAATTATTCAATTATTTATTAACATTAATTTTGCTACTAATTAAGGAAAATATTACAAACTACACATAAATATTTAATGAAAAGCTAACATTACACGTTAATAGAATGAAATGCCGAAAGTTACCAATTTAATCTCTCTCTTCTGCTTATTCTTCTTCTTCTTTTTGTTATTATTATTATTATTATTATTATTATGTTTTTTTTTTATTTTATTTTTCTCTTTTGTTTTTTTGATTTTTTTTTTTCTGTTTTTGTTTTGTTAAACAAAAAATTGTTTACAATTCCTTTAATTCTCCTAACGAACAATGATTGTACTGCAGTTTTTCTTTCATTGTTAAATAACTAAATGTTGAAATGCTTTCACTTTCATTTCATTTCATTTCACTTGATTGCAGGAAGTGCTATATTCATTTACCGCATCCAACTATTGTGCAATTAAACGAAATGTTTGCGCAGACTGTTCGCTTTATGTTCGGTTTACTATTTTGTTTGACCGCAAGTTCGTTAAACACAAGTTTTGGCAATTAAAATTTGTCAGCCTTGATTTATTGACGAGCCTATATATATATATATATATATATATATATAAGCAAAAATTTCTCATCGTAACAGAACTTCTATCTCTATTTCATCATATTGAACTAAAGCAAGTAAGAACACTGCAATGGGACACTGCCGACTGCCGAATATCCTACACGACTTTGCTTGATATTCATTTCAAAATAGGGCGTTCTATGGAAAATGGTTTAGAAAATGTTTCGATCCGAGTCAGTTTCAATATCGTTGAATGTATCAATTTTCTTTTCAAAAATTTAAAAAATTATGGTTATGTTCAACACAAGAAACTAAGAGAGACAGATAGACATACGGACAAATAAACTTAGGCAATAAAATGTGGATCTACCTGAAGTCCTTCTAGGCATTCCGTGCATACATTGCACAAGAAATATAGAGTATAATGAATGCTTTCGGAAATATTTGATTAGCTCGCGCTTTGCTCCTGATTGGTTGAAA